GAGAAGGATAGGCTGGATGGTGTGGTATGTCGGAAGCTCTACCAATACAACCAAAGACACATTACTTATTTAAAAGATGTCTTTGTTTTGTATGCTGATTCCCCAACGACGTGCAGAATCAATATTCGGTATAACCCTCCTCTAAACTCAGAATGAAAGCATTGAAAGTGTTAAATGTTTTATGACAACTTAAGTCATCAAATTGTGAGGTTATGATATCACCTTTATCCAGTGGCTTTTTGATCTGCCAAAATCGATCAGGTGAAAATGTTCACATCATTAATGCTCCCTAATAGCTGCATATCGAGCTGTTGTTGAAAGGCATGGGAAGCTGGTAGCTACTAATATCCTTGGTCTCCTCGTTCAGGAATTGAGTTCTAGAAAGTTTGCACCATAGAGGAAATAGCTCGTGTTTGTTTTCATATTAGAGAAGCACCAAAGACTTAAGTAACTGTGTCAAGACATAGGTATTTTCTGCCCTTTTTGCATTAAGCAATTCATCTGTTCATGCAATTCATGCTGTTCTCAGTTGTTTTAATGTTTACGATTTGTGGAATTTTATCATAACACTCTCAACCCAAACTATTCTGGGCAGATGACAGAAAGGTGAGTAGGCAACTTACTTCTAAGACCCAATAAAAGTCCTGGCTTGTAAAAGAGTGGAGAGGAAAGTGTTTCCATAGCTGCAAAGGAAACCACTCTGTTAAGAAAATAAAGTAAAACTTTTCTAAAATTTTGGGTTGTTGTAGGTTTTTTTGGGCTATATGGCCATGGTCTAGAGGCATTTTCTCCTGACGTTTCGCCTGCATCTATGGTAAGCATCCTCAGAGGTAGTGAGGTCTGTCGGAAGTAGGAAAATGGGTTTATATTAGGCTTGGGCGATCCAGTTCGTTAATTTCGTAATTCGTTATTAATTCGTATTTAAATTAGCTTACGATCCAATATCGAGCCATGCAGGAATAGTGTGAGGAGTAATTAAGAATCGAAACAATTTTTCCAATTTTCGTAATTATTTCGTAATTATTTTCGTATGTCTGGTGCAAGTTTTACAATCTCGCATTTACCCCACTTCCGGTCCCTTTGCTCTGCTGCTTCCCTCCTCTTTCCTCATGCTTCTTCTTGCCTCACTCTAATATACAATACTATAATATAATATATAATATAATAATATTATATTATTATAATACTATTATATTATATATTTTATTACTATATATTATATTATTATATTATATATTTTATTACTATATTATTATATTATAATTGTGTAATATAATATAATATAATATATATAATATATTATAATATAATATACAATAACATAATATAATAATATAATATAATATATATAATAATATAATATACAATAATATAATAATATAATATAATATACAACAATATAATATAATATAATATAATATAATATAATATAATATATAATATAATATAATATAATATAGTTGTTGTTTGTTTTATCACACCAACAGTCAACAACAGAGGGAGAGGGAAGCTTCAGAAGTTCCCCCTGTCCCATTTGGAGGTTTTTTTTAGCATATTGCGCAATCGCGTCCGCCATTAACGAATCGATTCATAATTTACGAAATTTCAGAAATTTTGAAATTTTGAAATCTTAAATTTCGGAAGTCCTCAGAATTTAGAAACGCTAGCGCACCCTAGAAATGAAACGAGTTTAGAACCAATTTTTTTCTTGATCGCCCAAGCCTAGTTTATATATCTGTGGAATGACCATGGTAGGGCAAAGGACTTTGTCTGCTGGAGCTAGGTGTGAATGTTTCAACTGACCACCTTGATTAGCATTTAATGGCTTGGCAGTGCCTGGGGGAATCTTTCTTTGAGAGGTGATTTGATGTGCCTGGTTGTTTACTCTCTGTTGTGTTGCTGTTGTAATTTTTGAGTTTTTTAATACTGGTAGCCAGATTTTGTTCATTTTCATGGTTTCTTCCTTTCTGATGAAATTGTCCACATGCTTGTGGATTTCAATGGCTTCTAAAAGTTGTTCAAAACTATGTCATTATAAATTCTATGTAACACTTCATATCTCTACTTATTCTGCAGTTGAAAAATTAGGCCTGTCAATTGAAGCACTGGAGATTTTCAATTCAACAGAAGGAAAGATCCTAGCGGGGTTTTGGACCTTACAGAAACGTCTGTCTGTCAGGCCTTGATAACAGAGGAAGGGGCAGAGGTAGCAGGTCAAACAGAAAAACATGGTGAACATCTCAGAGGTGAGTCAAAAGAGAGAAATTATCCAGAAAATGTATTTTTAATTGAAACTCTCTATTTATTCCTGTCCAGGTCCTGAACCGGTGCTTGGCCGCTGTGACAGTCTGGATGAGGGCGAACAAATTGAAATTGAATCCAGACAAGACAGAGGTACTCCTGGTCAGTCGCAAGGCCGAACAGGGCATAGGGTTACAGCCTGTGTTGGATGGGGTCGCACTCCCCCTGAAGACGCAGGTTCGCAGCTTGGGAGTGATCCTGGATTCATCGCTGAGCCTGGAAACCCAGGTTTCCGCGGTGACCAGGGGAGCATTTGCACAGTTAAAGCTTGTGCGCCAGCTGCGCCCGTACCTTGGGAAGTCTGACTTGGCCACGGTAGTCCACGCTCTGGTTACATCCCGTTTAGACTACTGCAACGCTCTCTACGTGGGGTTGCCTTTGAAGACAGCTCGGAAGCTCCAACTAGTCCAACGCTCGGCAGCCATGATTTTAACAGGAGCGGAGCGCAGGGAGCATACAACCCCCCTGTTGCGCCAACTCCACTGGCTACCGATCTGCTACCGGGCTGAATTCAAAGTGATGGCGTTGGCCTTTAAAGCCCTAAACGGTTCCGGCCCAAGCTACCTATCTGACCGCATCTCTGCCTATGAACCCACCAGGACTTTGAGATCTTCCGGGGAGACCCTGCTCTCGATCCCGCCTGCTTCTCAAGCTCAGCTGGCGGGGACGAGAGATAGGGCCTTCTCGGTGGTGGCTCCTCGGCTGTGGAACGCCCTTCCTACGGACATTAGACTAGCACCATCTCTAATGGTATTCCACAAAAAGGTGAAGACCTAGATGTTTGTGCAGGCGTTTGAGTAATTTAGTGCAATCTGGTAATGGAACATAGGAATGGAACAATGGACGACGAACCTGGACTACGCTTGGATGATGAGAAGATTGGGTACGGTTGTTTTTTGTAATAATTGTGCATTGTAATTGTTTATTGGTAATTTATGGATAATGTGTTAAGTCAATTGTTATATGTTGTATGGAACCACTGCTGTTTCTACTGTTTTTACTGTTTGTGAACCGCTGTGAGTCGCCTTCGGGCTTGAGATACAGCGGTATATAAGCAAAGTAAATAAATAAATAAATAAATATTTAGGCATGCTCTAAGGTGGCTTTTCAGATTGAAAAATAACATGATTTTACTACCATGATTTTACGACCTCACAACCTCTGAGGATGCTTCACTTCACTTCACTTTATTTCTTAATTAGTCGCTCTCCACCAAGGTGCTCCGAGCGACTTACAGTCTAAAATAGCATTTACACAATATTTTGCCGTATATTGCCATAGATGCAGGCGAAACATCAGGAGAGAATGCCTCTAGAACATGGCCATACAGTCCGAAAAAATCTACAACAACCCAAAATAGCGAACTGTTTTTAAGGTGGGAGTGCTCAACATTAACAGGCAGTTTGTTGCCTTCTTGCAGGTAGATATGAGGATTATTTTTCTCATTTCAGATGGGTTCGGCACTACCACCATTGATTGCGGGGGGGGGGGTCTCATATCCTCTGTGCCTTATTCTGGGTCCATGTCACAGGAGCTCTGTCCTCTTTTTACACCTGGCCATATAACAGCAACATATCTAACAACAGGGGTGTATTTTGGCTAAACTGTAATGAGAAGATGAGGGATGTAAGAGTAGAATTATTCTTCGCATGGGTTAAACTATTATTTATTTATCGTGTCAGGATAAATCAGTTGTATTGCATTAAAAACAAACAAACAAACAAAGCACAAAGTTTGCAGACTTGGTATACTATTAAATGTCCTTTGACCAGTAGCTGGCCACTTGGAGTGCCTCTGGTGTTGCTGTAAGAAGGTCCTCCATTGTGCATGTACCAGGGCTCAGGTTGCATTGTAATAGGTGGTCTGTGGTTTGCTCTTCTTCACACTCACATGTCGTGGATTCCACTTTGTAGCCCCATTTCTTAAGGTTGGCTCGGCATCGTGGTGCCAGAGTGCAATTTGTTCAGTCGCCCAGTCTTCTGTGTCCCAGGAGGGAGTCTCTCATTTGGTATCAGCCATTGATTGAGGTTCTGGGTTTGAGCTTGCCACTTTTGGACTCTCACTTGCTGAGGTGTTCCAGCAAGTGTCTCTGTAGATCTTAGAAAACTATTTATTGATTTAAGTTGTTGGCGTGCTGGCTGATACCCAAACAGGGGGTGGGCCGGAGATGTCACTGCCTTGGTCCTTTCACTATTGGTTGATACTCCCTGGCAGATGTCAGGTGGTGCAATACCAGCTAAACAGTGTAATTTCTCCAGTGGTGTAGGGCGCAGACACCCCGTGATAATGCGCTATGTCTCATTAAGAGCCACATCCACTGTTTTAGTGTGGTGAGATGTGTTCCACACTGGGCATGCATACTCAGCAGCAGAGTAGCATAGCGCAAGGGCAGATGTCTTCACTGTATCTGGTTGTGATCCCCAGGTTGTGCCAGTCAGCTTTCGTATGATATTGTTTCTAGCACCCACTTTTTGCTTGACATTCAGGCAGTGCTTTTTTGTAGGTCAGAGCATGGTCCAGGGTAACTCCCAGGTATTTGGGCGCATTGCAATGCTCCAGTGGGATTCCTTCCCAGGTAATCCTCAGAGCTCAGGATGCTTGTCTGTTCTTAAGATGAAAAGCACACGTCTGTGTTTTAGATGGATTAGGGTTAAACTAAAAGGAATTAAAACAAATCTATCTCTACGTCACAGTGCAGGTATGTCCGGGAGTAGTAGGTAGAATCATTGTTGATTACTCTTCATCCCCATGTCAATTTAAAATGTCTCCTCTCATCAACAGCAACAATAACTTGTTGACAAAGCATGTAACATATCTTGTGCAAGCCAGTGTTTACAACAGCAATCCCTTTTAGTTCCTCTTTTGAAAAAACGGGCTTGCTGACACACTTCCTGCTTCTGTTAAACAGGATGTGGCTGTGTAATATCGATTTTCTAAAGATATGAGCCATCTTTAGGAGAGTGGTGGAATTGCCTGGAAAACTTCTGTTTCTAAATTGCTTTGTCTAAGTTGTTTAATTTCGTTTTATTTGGTTATCCAACAATGAGCCAACAATGTGATGTGGCGGCAAAAAAAGCCAATGGGATTTTGGCCTGCATCAATAGGAGCATAGTGTCTCGATCTAGGGAAGTCATGCTACCCCTCTATTCTGCTTTGGTTAGACCACACCTGGAATATTGTGTCCGATTCTGGGCACCACAATTCAAGAGAGATATTGACAAGCTGGAATGTGTCCAGAGGGGAGTGACTAAAATGATCAAGGGTCTGGAGAACAAGCCCTATGAGGAGCGGCTTAAGGAGCTGGGCATGTTTAGCCTGAAGAAGAGAAGGCTGAGAGGAGATATGATAGCCATGTATAAATATGTGAGAGGAAGCCACAGGGAGGAGGAAGCAAGCTTGTTTTCTGCTTCCTTGGAGACTAGGACGCGGAACAATGGCTTCAAACTACAAGAGAGGAGATTCCATCTGAACATGAGGAAGAACTTCCTGACTGTGAGCAGTGGAACTCTCTGCCCCGGAGTGTGGTGGAGGCTCCTTCTTTGGAAGCTTTTAAACAGAGGCTGGATGGCCATCTGTCAGGGGTGCTTTGAATGCAATATTTCTGCTTCTTGGCAGGGGGTTGGACTGGATGGCCCATGAGGTCTCTTCCAACTCTTTGATTCTATAATTCATGAATTCAGAAGTGGGCAACATACACAAGCTCTTATCCTGCCTCCAAGCATTTTGGCATGCAGAAGTGGTGAGCAACTTCCTGACTGTGAAAGCCGTTCAGCAGTGGAACTCTCTGCCCCGGAGTGTGGTGGAGGCTCCTTTTTGGAAGCTTTTAAACAGAGGAGCAACACACACTACTTTTTTGGCCATTGTAGTCAGTAGAAGAGAAATCATGAATTTGTCTGCATTGATATTATTAGAGGCTGCGATATTAAAACCTCCTATGCAAAGATCCTGATTCAAATGGCTATTTCCTCCTTCTCCCCGTATTCATAGCATGGAAGACCTGTGTTGCTGAGTTTGTCAGCAGTTTTGCCCAAGATCTGGAAACCACCACCATTTTTAAGGGGTCATTTTGGGTTCTGTCTTGCAGATGGCCTGCTATGACAAGAGGCAGAGACGTACAGGGCCCGAACAGCTGAATGACCTCGTGGTGGCACCACTGCATTCTAGAGTGAACGGCTGGTCTTCCCCTCTCCACTCATTCCAGCTCCTCACCCTGATGCTGTATTCATACTTGGCGATAGTGAGCTTCGGTATCTACATACCTCTTCTCCCAAATGAATGGAAGCGCGTTGCCTATATTGTATCCTTTACTGCTTTGTCAAAACATAGTGCTAAAGCTAAAACCACATATTAACTTCTTGCTTTATTATTTTTTAACTGTATTTTAACCATATACAGCAGTGTTTCTCAACCTAGGGGTCGGGACCCCTGAGGGGGTCGCGAAGGGGTGTCAGAGGGGTCGCCAAAGATCATCAGAAAACACAGTATTTTCTGATGGTCATGGGGATTCCATGTGGGAAGTTTGAGCCAATTCTATCGTTGGTGGAGTTCAGAATGTTCTTTGATTGTAATGAACTATAAATCCCAGCAACTACAACTCCCAAAAGTCAAGGTCTATTTTCCCCAGGCTCCACCAGTGTTCACATATGTGCATATTGACTATTGGTGCCAAGTTTGGTCCAGATCCACCACTGTGTGAGTCCACAGTGCTCTCTGGATATAGGTGAACTACAACTCCCAAACTCAAGGTCAATACCCACCAAACCCTTCCAGTTTTTTCTGTTGGTCATGAGAGTTCTGCATGGCAAATTAGGTTCAAATCCATTGCTGGTGCAGTTCAGAATGCTCTTTGATTATAGGTGAACTATAAATCCCAGCAACTACAACTCCCAAATTACAAAATCAATCCTCCCCCAACCCCACTAGCATTTACATGTGGGTGCATTGGGTATTTGTGCCCAGTTTGGTCCAGTGAATGAAAATACATCTTCCATATCTGATATTTACATTATGATTTATAACAGTAGTAAAATGACCATTATGAAGTAGCAACAAAAACAATGTTATGGTTGGGCGTCACCACAACATGAGGGACTGTATTAAGGGGTCACGGCATTAGGAAGGTTGAGAACCGCTGATATACAGGGTGAGGCAGCATAACTTCCTTTTTTCAAAACTTAATAAAACCCATTGTATGAATCAGATTTTATTTTTCTTTTGTAATGTAGGCGCATACCTAAAGTTTTGTTTTATGTAGTTTTGAAGATCAAATTAGGTAGGTGACGTCCGCCATTCTCCATACACTGAGTAAACCGATTTCTGGTGTTTGTCATGACTCTTGCCAGCATAGCAAGCGTTATGTTGGCAATTTCTTCCTGGATGTTGGTCTTCAAATCTTGTAGGGTCCTTGGACGGTTCACATAAACACGGGATTTCAAAAAACCCATAGAAAAATCACAAGGGGCCAAATCTGGAGAGCGGGCCGGCCACTCGAAAAGTAGGCCTCAACGGCAAAAGCACGCTCCTCACTGTTCCAACGCATGATGGCGACTGAACTGTGTCAGGACAAAACTTTATACTCCCGCCTCTCGAACGAGACCACTAGCGCTCCGCTATGTCTTCAACCAACTGAATGGTGCGCATTTTAAAAAAGGAAGTTATGCTGCCTCACCTGTATCTGCACAGTGCTATTTAATAGGGCTGGGCAGTTTCGTTCGTTAATTACGTAATTCGTTATTGATTCGTATTTAAATTAGCTTACGATCCGATATTGAGCCATGCAGGAGCAACTAAAAATCGAAACGAATTTTTCAATTTATTTCGTAATTGTTTCGTAATTGGTTCGAAATCGGTTCGAAATCATTTCGAAATTGTTTCGTTATTATTTCTGTATGTCTGATGCAAGTTTTATAGTTGTTGTTTGTTTTATCAGTGATAAAAAAATAAATTATCACACCAACAGTCAACAACAGAGGGAGAGGGAAGCTTCAGAAGTTCCCCCTGTCCCATTTGGAGGTTTTTTTTAGCGTATTGCGCAATCGCGTCCGCCATTAACGAATCAATTCGAAATTTACGAAATTTTGTAAATAACGAAATTTTTTTAAAGAAAAATTCGGAATTCTTTTAAAAAACGAAACGCAATGGACCCCCTAAAAACGAAACGAGTTTAGAAACAAATTTTTCCGTTGTTACCCAGCCCTACTATTTAATACTTTTTCATGTTTATATTTGCTATGTTTTAAACTGTGATCCAATTGTGTGGTTGTTAGCTGCCTTGAGTCCCCACCGGGAGAAAGGCAAAATATAAATAAAGCAAATAAATAAAATAAATATACAATTGCAGCATAGGATTTGAGATGAATGGGACTGCATTCTGTACATAGATATTTGACAATAAAATCGTTATGGTTCCTCCACCCTATCTCTTTAAAAGACGAAAGGCTTTTTGCTTGATCCATTACTGTATCTAGTAAGAGCTCCTTCATCTTTTTGATTGGTTGGGTTCCCAAACTTGCAAACAACAGTATTGTCTAGGAAGCGGCCCAATGTTGGCATTCCTTTTATAAATAACTTTAGCTTTGAACTTTCTGGGAATTTAACTTACCAAGGGAAATAAATGTGCAGTTTGTAATTGTTTATACTGTATATCCACTACTGCAGGGGTCCTCAAACTAAGGCCCGGGGGCCGGATGTGGCCCTCCAAGCTCATTTACCCGGCCCTCACTCAGGGTCAACCTAAGTTTGAAATTATTTGAAAGCACACAACAACAACAACAATCCTATCTCATCAGCCAAAAACAGGCCCACACTTCCCATTGAAATACCAATAAGTTTATATTTGTCAAAATTGTTATTCATTTTAATTATTGTATTGATTTTAAGTGTTTTTTTGCATTACAAATAAGATATGTGCAGCGTGCATAGGAATTCATTCATGTTTTTTTCAAATTATAATTCGGCCCTCCAACAGTTTGAGGCCCTCTGTTTAAAAAGTTTGTGGACTCCTGCACTACTGTATATCCACCCCTCATTGCCCAGGTGTCATTGGGACCACTGCCTGCCAACTTCCTCCTTTCTCCAGCTCTGAGAAGGCCTACTTTAGAATGTTTCCATGGCAACATTCTGGTAACATTGGGCATGCTGTTTTTGTGACTTTTTTCTTTTCTTTCTCAGTTTTACTCCCCCCTCTCCCTTTTCATACTATCTTTTCTCATCCTTTGCTTTTCTTCATACACCTTCCCTGCTCTTGTTTATTTTCTCTTCCGTTCTTTCCTTTTTCTATTTCCCACCCTTCCTTTCTTCCTCCCTTCTTTCTTCCCTTCCCTTCTTTCTTTTTCTTTCCTACTCTGCCCTCATATATTTTGCCCTTTCCTTTCTTTTGCATCCTTCCCTTCTTTTTCTCCCTCCTCCATTTCTTTCCCTTCCCGTCTTTTTCTTTTCTTTCCCTTTCTCCTTTCTTCTTTTTCTCTCTTCCCTCCTTTCCTTCATCCCTTCTTTCTTTTTTTCCTTTTCTTCTTTCTCTTATCCTCTTTCTCTCTTTACTTCCTTTGTTCCTTCCTGGCATTCAGAAAACGATAGCAAGAAAGCAGGGTTCTTATTCTTGTTGTCAGCTCCTTTGTACAATGTCTTTTGGAAACGAGTGTAACGTAGCAAACATAAATAATTCAGTCTGGTGTCATCTCTTGTTCCTTATTCCTTAAGTTCATTATATGCAGGTGATCGGCATAATTTTTGTGCATCACTTAATCGCTCACCTTATTGCAGTTACTATTGATCCAGCAGATGAAAACATACTGGCTAAGAAGAATTATGACAAACCTATGCCACTTTTTGACAGAAGCAAATTTAAACATGTTATTCAGAATCAGCACTGCTATCTCTGTGAAGTTGACGTGTAAGTTTTCCACATAGTAGCATAACTACTTAGTCTTATTAGCTAAGACTAAGCCCCTGGGCTGAGAACAGTGGTATATAAGCAAAGTAAATAAATAAATAAATAAATAAATAATTTCCTAACCTAAATATGGTTAATAAAGCCCCGACATCGTTAATATGGTTAATAAAGCCCCAACACACACACCTCTCTCCTCCTAACGCAACCATTTCCTGGCTGGTGAAAAGTGATAGAAGAGAAACATTTAGCTATTTGCAATAAAACAATCTGCAGGGATTTTTGAAGGATCCCAGAAGAAATGGTAGATGCCTGTTCTTTCCCATCCATCTATAGGAAAATAGCTGAATGCTTATCTGCTTTCCACTAACCAAGAAATAGCAGAGTTTGGAGGCCTGAAGCTGAGAACAGGTTGTTTTAGGAAAGTAGTTAGATGCGATACTACAGTAGTTACAACCTATATGTCCTATAATAACTGCATATTAAGAAATTGCTACTTCTTCTAAGAAAAAAGGAATATTTCCTATATTTCCTATAGATGGATGTGAAACGCTCAGTAAATTTTCAGAATGGAAACTGCAGGCAGTTCCCAAGTTACAAACAAGATAGATTCTGTAGGTTTGTTCTTAAGTTGAATTTGTATGTAAGTCAGAACAGGTGCATTTTTAAAGTGTAACTCCAGCTAAAAATATATTTATTATTATTATTTTTTATTATTTCATCTACTTATACCCCGCCCTTCTCACCCCGGGGGGGGACTCAGGGCGGCTTACAAAGGAGGCACAATTAGATGCCCAAATCACACAACAAACAATACAAAATATAACAGTTCAACAATTAATATATGGCAAACATTCAATGCCAATTTTTGACATACAAACATATACAGACATACACAGAGGCTATTTCACTTTTTCTGGCCGCCAGGGGAGCTGTCGCTTTCATCGTCCATCTGCGACACTGATGAAGCACTTCCGCATTCCCCGCATGCTTTGCTGGAGTGCTTTGCTGGAGTCTTTTTTATGGCCTCATAAATTAGTTAATTTAGCCTCCCCACACAAGGTGGTACCTAATTTTCCTACTTGACAGATGCAACTGTCTTTTGGGTTGCAAAGGTCGACAACAGGCTACACACAATTGGTTGGAAACCCACTCCAACCCGGGCTGGCTTCGAACTCATGACCTTTTGGTCAGAGTGATCTTATGCAGCTGACTCCCAGCCAGCTGTGCCACAATCCCGGTTATACCAATGGTTCATGCTCTGAGATGCTACATTGTGGGAAAAGGTGAATTGATCATAAAAATAAATATATTTAACTGTTATGATTTTGATTAAGTGCTTATGAGTTTATGTGGTGCTAACTGGAATTGTATATGAGCCGTGTGCATTATCTTATATGACTGAATAATCCTTCCAATAACAATTCATGAAATTTATCCTCTGTTTGAATGCATTCTCATAAGGCTTGAATTTTATTTCACTTTTTTTTCCTCCCTAGTGGACCCAAAACTAAACACTGTAGTACCTGCAATAAATGTATTGCAGACTTCGACCACCATTGCAATTGGCTTAATAACTGTGTTGGAAGCAGAAATTATTGGTAAGTTAACAGTAGAAGCTGGGAAATGTTTATTGTCTAGAAGGCTGTAATGCAGTGGAAGGTAGAGGGACAGAATTTATTCTCTCTTTCCCCATTGAGTCCATTTTAGTCCTGAGGGAATCTATGTCAAACTGTTGCCATAAACAATTAAATGGATATG